CCCCCCCCCCCCTCCTTCCCTTCCCTTTTAAATCAGATCTTGGGGTTAAGGCTGAGAACTGCCTTTTGTTCTTCAAGTCAGACAGTGAGGCTGAAGATGTGGGTTTCTGATTATTGGTGGCACAATGTGGAAGAATTGCTTTCCTTCATGAGAGGAGGTGCTTTGTCGCCAAGGATTGTCTCAATGCCAGTGGCAAGGACAAATGTATGCAGGAGGAAAAGGCTCTTTAAAGGGATGGTGCTATATGGTGTGGGTTGGGTTTCCCCATCCCCCCCAAATCCACTTCTATCTCCCCATCCCAGGGAGGAGAGACAGTCTTTGTCATGCTGTGTGTTTGTAATCAATGGCCAGGGTACATTTTTCACTCTGCCAGACTTTTATTTTGCTTTTGTGAAGCAGGTCTGAGCCACCTCACCATGGCTCATAAATATCAATTATTTTGCTCCAGAGCTGGGGCAAAATAATTGCTATTTATAATCAGCTCCTCTCTCCTAGTAATGGGAAATCTTTTGGGGAGTTGAGTTGGTCTGAAGTGTGATTTCTGGTGACAGTGCAGGGTGCCTCCCCTTTCGAGGTGCTGCTGTGCCCCTGAACCCCAGCCAGCCCCAGACCTGCCACTGCCAGAGGGAATTGCTGGGGACACCAGCCAGCTCCTGGTGGGAGGTAAAACTTTGCAGGATGTCCCCAAAATCAAAGCTATGGATGAGCTAGAGCCCCCCACCGCCCCCTTAATTTTTTATTTTGCCTTTTGGATGACATTTTATTTCATTTAGTGCTCCTCACCAGTATCCATCCCAGCTCCTGAGGAGCTCCAGTTGAATATATTCTCCAAAGGCGATTATTACTTTCCTTATCTTTTCTCAGCAGCTTTGGCAGCTCTGCTGGAGGCCGAATGCATTTTCTCTATGGGCAGTCAAAGCTGGAGGCTGCATTCCTGGGCTGTGATACATGGAAAGCCATGGCACCCCTGCTAACAAAGGACCCAATTCGCTCTACATTCCCATGGTCTTGTGGATGGCCTGCCCGGCTCAAAGTTTACAAAGACGCCAAACAGCCAGAAGAATTGGGGTTTATGTTTCCTTTCAGTCTTTCACAAACACTTTATTGATCTGCGGCCTTTTCCTGGCCACTCGGAGAATTAAGTAGTTACAAAATGGAATGATTTTTTCTTTGGCTTTTTTTTTTTTTTTTTAAAATATAAACTCTGCATTTTATGTGTTTTATTATCTGCCTATTCATAATATTTTTGTTTGGAAGGAGCAGCTTCCTGCAAACTGCACTGGGATGTTCTTTATGCCCGTGAAAAACCCCAAAAGCTTTGACAATGATGAACACATTTAAGTTGTGCTCCACTTGTTTACAAAAGTCTCCATTTGGTAGCACATCAAAAGCATTTTTCTCCCCTCCAGCACAATGGTATATTCATGCTAGCAGTCATTACTCAGAGATTTGAAGCATCACTTTATTGGAGCCCACCACAATACAGTCTAAGACTCTTTGTTTCATTTGTTATTACCTTCTTTTTTTTTTTTAATTTTTAAATGCATTTAATTCAGACCTGTTTGTAGTCCCTGATGGCTGAATTCCAGCCATGCCCTGCAGCAACTCCATCATGATGCTGGTGGTGTGGGGGCGAGGGGCTTTCCTGGGGGCTCCAACTCCTCCCAGGGTTCACTCCCTAAACAGTCACACCTTGGTGGACCTGGCACGAGTCCCTGCTGATGTGGTTTTTTAGGATGGGTTAATCAACTGTTCCACCCTTAACTAACACCCAGCAAATCTTTGGAATACTGAGTTGCCTTTAAAAAGTGGATTTACAGGCCAGGAAGGTGCCTGCAACTCGTGTGTGAGGTTTGCTGTTGGATTATTTATTATTGTTACTATTTTTATTATTATTATTGTTATTACTACTACTGTTATTGTTATTTAAATACACAAATATCTTAATTGTATATTTATCATCAGTTTGTGGGTTTTTTAGCACAGCTGAACATGACTTGGGCACTAAGGCAGAGCTATTACTAAATTCTTCAGTACATGGAATATCTTTGTAGGGTTTTCTGCTTGTTGAAAGCACCTTCTGCTCTTAGGAGAAGGATGGATGTCCCACAAAGCACTTTTCAGGATGAATTAATAGCTTGACTGTGAAATGCCCGTTTCTTCTTAATGGAGGGGAACAGGTGTAGCCTTGGGAGCAGGGAGATGCTCCTCAGGACAGGGTTTCCTCAGGGCTGCAGGGCCCATCATGGTGTGGCCTCCCACGTCACTCAGAGTAGGAAACATGAAAGAATTAAATGCATCTGCCACGTTAGGAACTTGTGGTGGAGCATCACAAAATGTTGAAGGAGTGGAGACCAGCAAATGGGATGCTACAAGGTTGAGGGACTCCAGGGAAAACTGATGTTTAATAAAGGTTGTGAGGGGTGAGAAGAGATGAGCACTTAGCACCAGGCATGTATCTGGAGGCAATTTCCAGGGGACAACCAGAGAAAGGGCTAAAATGCAATGCAGGATGAAATCCTTAATGCCAGTAATAATTTCCTAGAGGAAGTCATGAAAGTTTGGTAGCTGCTGTGTTTAATGGTGTATTTGATGAGGATGTGTGTGTCGGCACAGGAGGAGTGACCGGGTGTTGGCTGAGGGACTTTTCCATCTCTACTACATAGAGATGTGCCAAATATATCTTAGTGCACAGTGTTTGGCCTGGTCTCATGCAGTCTCCCTCGTGCAGATTATCCATGTAATGCCAAAAGGTGTTACCCTTGGCTTCCCCAGGCACAGCAAAGCCTCTAGCTTTCCCTAAGGGAGGGCTGGTCGTGATGGTCTCCTTGGGCCCTTTCACGTTGGTGTCTTGTGTTCAGGACTAGCATGAGGGGGCTGATGGCTCTCTGTCTCTTGGCTTTGAAAGCAGTCTTGAAAAACAAATGACACAAGGAAACCTTTAATGAATGAGCACGGAGAGGAGGGTGTTAGTAATGCTTGTTCTAATGGGAGGAGCTGATGACAGGCTGCCTTCTGGCAGGCTGCGGTGGCTCTGCCTCGTTTGATGTCTCTGAGCCTGTGGCTTGGTGCTGGCAGCCTGCAAGTGCCTGGTGAAGTTGTAGGCTCTGGGAATGGAGCAAAAATGTTTCCTGGCAATGTGTGCTGGTCAGAAGCGACGTTGTGGTGGTGAATGTCTGTGTGCTTAGCCTGTTATCCTTGTTACCCGTAAAGCTCCTCCATTCAAATCCTTTGGATCTCTCTCTGTGTCAGATTCGATGCTGCTGGTTGCGGAGAGGCTGGAGGGTCCCTTCAACATCGAGTCAGTCATGGACCCCATTGATGTGAAAATTTCAGATGCAATCATGAACATGCAGGAGAACAGCATGCAAGTGTCTCAGAAGGTAAACAGGCCAAGAGGACACTTGGGCTTTATTTATCCAATGTGCTTTACTTACCCAATGTGTTCTATTTCCCTGTTCTCATCAGCGTGTTTTTTCCTTTCATGCCCTTTCAAGTATGCATAAAGCTGGTGTGTTATTTTGGGCAGAGGCTGGGTGGGAGCCTGGGGAAGGGAGGTCCCTGTGACCTCCTCATTTCATAAAACCCTTGATTTCCCTTGCACAGGTTTTCCAGGGCTGTGGCCAGCCAAAAACCCTCGCCCAGGGCCGGAGCGCTCGCTCCCTCTCCGAGAGCGGCTTCAGCTCCCGCTTCAGACCCTACAACCCAGAGGAGCGACCCACCACGGCTGCTGGCACCAGTTTGGACAGACTGGTGAGTGCCTGGTCCTGCTGGTGCCACATGGGCACTTTGCACCCCTCTCCCACGGCGTATAATTTTCTATTTGTAATTTATAGGGTTGCTTAATATTCCTTGGCTGTCTCAGACTCTCTGAGGGGTGTAATCTGCCCATGGCTCTAGACGTGAATTACCTCAGCGCTTCTATGTCAGAGAAGGGCCTGTTTTTAAAGGCTTGGCTTGTGAGCAATACGTGTCTGAGGAGCAGTGTTTAATTTGGTATTAAAAAAGTAAATCAACCATCAAAACATGCAGCCTGAAGATCTGGCCCATACACGTCTGTTGTGATAAAAAATACCTTTCCGGCTTCATTTTTAATGAGCATTTGGGATTCTGGTTTATGTCCTGTGTTTCTTTTTTTTTTTTTTTTTTTCCCTCTTCTATTTAATAGGTTACGGATGTGAAAGAGAAGCTGAAGCAAGCCAAAAAATTTTGGTCATCTCTCCCTGGCAACATTTGCAACGATGAAAAGATGTCTGTAGGCACTGTCAATGAGAACGAGTGCTGGAACGGGAGCGCCAAGAGCAGGTTGGGTGATGTGGCTGCCCTGCTTAACCCTCTCCCTCTTGCCCCAGCCTTTCCTAGCATTTTGGCCCCTCTCCCTGAGCCCTCCTCCTGCAGGAGTGACCCCAACTTCCCCAAAACAGGCTGCAGCCATTATCCCTTCTTTTTTGTGTAGATGAGAGAGCTTGAATGCAAAGCTAAAAGGTTGTCCAAGCTCTACGTGGTTTTAAAGAAGAGAGTAGAGTCTAGATAGCCAGATACAGCATCTCTCCTTGAACCTCTTACTGGTTGATCATGGGTTTGGGGAGGTGAATTATACAAAATCCTGTATCACAGCTACAGAGCAAGGATGCTCCTGTTGTCCCAGTGCCTCCAGTTGGTGTATCTACCAGGAACTATTGCTGGGTTCCTTGGTGAGCAAAGGCAGAAGAGATAGAGGCTGGTGAAAAGTCCTCTTCTCCACCACTGAGGTCAGTGGCACGAAGAGGCCTGTGGTTTTCATGCAGGCTTTTCATGGAAAAATAGTTACAAAACTTTTTTTTTTCTTGTAAGGAAGAAATTACCAACACATGAATAAGCCAAAGATTTTCTGTCATATGGTTTATGTAACTGTTTAACTTTTATTTTGGAAATACAAATGTCTTTTTTGTTTTTTTCTGTTTGCTTAGTGAGAAAAGAAGCAAAATCCAAGATGTTCCATTAAAAAAAGAAGTTGTGCAGGGTTTTCCAGCAGTTTTTCTAAGTAATGGCAGGTTTTGCCCTTCGTAGTTTTGGGGCACAGGACTGAGCCACACCACTGTCAATTTTGCACTGTTTTCTGTGTGCCTGAAGCTCTGCCTTGCTTGGCCAGGGTGATGGGTTTGGTCTCTGTGACAAGAAATGGCTCTGCCCTCCTGAGGTCTTCATAGAATCATCATAGAATCACTGAATGGTTTGGGTTGGAAGGGACCTTAAAGATCATCCAGTTTCAACCCCCCTGCATGGGCAGGGACACCTCCCACCAGCCCAGGCTGCTCCAAGCCCCATCCAACCTGCCCTTGGACACTTCCAGAGATGGGGCAGCCACAGCTTCTCTGGGCAACCTGGGCCAGGGTCTCACCACCTTCACAACAAAGAATTTCCTCCTGAAGTCTAACCTCAATCTCCGCTCTTTTGGTTTTGATCCATTCCCCCTTGTCCTCTCATTACTTGTAAAAAGTCTCTCCCCAGCTTTCCTGGAGCCCCTTCAGGTGCTGAAAGGTGCTATAAAGTCTCCTTGGGGCTTTCTCTTCTCCAGGCTGAACAGCCCCAACTCTCTGAGCTGTGTATACCTCCCTGTCTCCAGGGTCAGTGGATTGTGCTAAAGGCTTTTCTCTCTCTTGTGATACTGATGTTGGTGTCATGACTAAGAAAAGTAAAGTTCCCTTCTGTTGTGCAGGGATTTTTCTTGCAAGTCAGGTAATTGGAGGAGTGGAAGAAAGTGTCATATCCCTGCTCTGTAAGATGATACTCCAAAACCTGATTCAGGAGACACATTCGGTTAGGTTTTGTTGCTCAGTCTCTCTTTTAAACCTAGAGGTTGTATGTGTTTTCAGACCTGAGCACACACATCTCAGGTGCAGCAGCTCAGCTCTTCTCTGCCTCAGTGTGTGGGGTTATGTTAGCTCATCTTCACCATCACCAATGTTTCTCCTGCTTGGGGTTATTAGGAAAATTGCATCTCATGTCTGCGTGGTGAGAAGTGCACATTTAATCCCCCAGGTTGATAGTTAAGGTGCATTATGCAAAGCCAGAATGACACGGTTGCCTCCAAGATTTACTATAGGTTCCTCTGGGATAAGTATGATCCCAAAGGTTGTTTTTCCAAAAGTGTCACTGGGCATCAGGGCATCTCAGCAGCTTGTTTTGTTCTGTTGCCTGCAGTGAGCTGATTGATGCTGTTGTTAGCCATTATTATCATAAACCTCAAGATTTTTAAGTTGGGGAGAATATTGTCCTTCCCCTGCCATGGTGGCACGAGGTGTATTAAAGCAGAGTTTGATTCCTCATGCTGCTCAGGTTTCTGGGAGGGAGAGGTGGGTTAAGAAGCTGGAGAAGAGCTCCTTGAGGGTTAGCACGTGGGAGGACCACACTGGGCTCAGGATATCACCCAGGAGGTGGCAACCCTGAGTTCCCACACCATTGCCCTTTGGCGTGGGACCCCGCTGAGCTGCAGCTCTGGTTCCAGCAGGAGTGGTTTCTTTTCAGGTACGACTTTGCAGTGACTGGAAATGGCTTAGCAAGTCAAGTGAATAACCCAGAGGTAGAAGTTGATATCACCAAGCCAGACATGGTGATTCGTCGGCAAATCATGGCTCTGCGGGTGATGACCAACAAGCTGAAAAATGCCTACAGTGGGAACGATGTCGACTTCATTGACATAAGTATGTTTGCTGTTGGTTTGCCTTTTGCTTTCTCCTTTTCCCTTTTTAATTGGATTTCATGCTAGCACAAGGTAGCTGGTTAAGCTTCAGCTGTGGGTAAGCATGTCAGTAACGAGGGTGGGAAGCAACAGGCTGTGAGAGGAGGGTGGTTTCTGTAGAATCATGAAACAGTTTGTGCTGGAAAGTTCCTTTAAAGGTCATCTAGACCAATCTCCCTGCAATGAGCAGCAACATCTTCAACTAGATCAGGTTGCTCAGAGCCCTTTCCAGCCTCACCTTGAATGTTTCCAGGATGGGGCATCTGCCATCTCTCTAGGCAACCTGTTCCAGTGCTTCCCCACCTTCACTGTAAACTTATATCTAGTCTGAATCTACCCTCTTTTAGTTTAAAACTGTGACCCCTTGTCCTGTCACAATGGGGCCTGCTGGGAAATTTGTCCCCGTCTTTCTGAAAAGCCCCCTCCAAGTACTGAAAGGCCACAATAAGGTCTCCTCAGAACCTTCTCTTCCCCAGGCTGAATAACCTCAACTCTTTCAGCCTGTCTCCAACAGCAGAGGTGCTTCAGCACCCCTGATCACTTCTGTGGCCTTCCTCTGGCTCTGCTCCAACAGCTTCATGTCTTTCTTGCGTTGGGGGTGCCAGAGCTGGATGCAGCACTGGGGGGGTCTCAGAGTGGAAAAGAGTGGGAGAATCACCTCCCTTGACCCTCTGGCCACGCTGCTTTTGCTGCAGCCCAGGCTGCAGTTGAGCTTTCTGGGCTGCGGACGCGTGTGGCCTGAGGAGCAACGCGCGGAAGTTGCGTTAAGCAGAGGGCATCTCAACCTCAAAACACCCCTCAGCTTCCCCCAGCCCCCCACAGCTGCCTTCTGCAAGGGCTGCAGGCAGCAGGAGGAGGCCGAGCCAGGTGTGTTTGTGTCCTGCAGGTGAGGAGAGCAGCGGGGAGGAGAGCGGCAGCGGCTGCGAGCTCCAGCAGTGCTCCCCGGAGTTCGAGTTCAACGCCACCGAGGTCGCCGGGAACTCCAACAAGAGCAATAAGAACGTGAACACTTCTGCTGCCCCCAGGAGCAGCTCCTCACAAGCAGCCTTGCTCCTTAGCATTTTCTTCTTCTTGGCCGTGCAAAGACAATGGAGATAATTGTGCAGCGTAGGGGTGGGGAGGGTGGGGGGGAGGAGAAAAAAGACTTTTATTATCAAAGTTAGAAGGCACCTGCTTTCACTTTTATACCATCTAGGGACTTTGCTTTTTAAGTTAATGGACAACAGTGTACAGTTTTTACTTTGTTGCCACTGGTTTTAAGATACTGATTTATTTTTTTTTCCCCTTGCTATTCTGGGAATAACAAGAACAGGGACTACCAGTCTGCCCCGTTCACCAAGAGTCTGTGTTAGAGGTGGATAACAAAAATGTATATACAAGCCTGTAGTTAGCTCTGCATTTGTGTCTTTATCACGTTTTTTTTTTTAAATTTTATTTTATTTTACCGTATTTCTTATGAAAGCAAAAAAAAACAACCCACAACAAACCAGCACCCAGGGTCCTCTCTTGGCCTGTCACAAGTATGTGTTTCTAAAATGGGCAATATCTGTACAGAGGCAGGTTTTATTTATCATGTTATCTTACAGGGGAAAAAAAACTGCCCAATGAGCAGAAAATGTGTTTCATGTAGTTAACTTCCCATTTATCCACGTTATGTTAGTTGCCTTATCTGGAAAGAAGTGGAAGTGATTTGTCTTTATTAAGCAGTAAAAGAAGAGGTGAAGGTGGAGCTGGTCAGTGTGCCAAGCACCCTGTTTGCACAGGGTGGTAATGCCAGGAGCAGGTTGTACTTTCTTTTCAGGAGGTTTGGTTAAAATTGGAAGAGGCTACAGAGAATTCCAGGTCTGCAGATGCTAAGAAGAGTTGTTTGTTTCCTGGGATCCTTGCAATTAGCTGTAACTCCTGTAGGTCAGTTCCCAACGTGCGTCCCCCCTGGGAACAAGGCATTAAACTTGTTCGGTTGGAAGCGACTTGTGTCACAGATCCAAATGCCAACACGTGTCTTGTCTGCAAGTTTGTGAGATGAATGCTGGCTTAATTTTTCAACCTTTTGTTTTCTTTTTCAGGAATGCTTTGCGGGAAGGGAGGTGGGGAGGTGTCAGGTTTGCTTTTGCAGAAGTCTTGTTTCCTCTCCGATGGGGCAGAAGGGAAGGAGCAGTGGGCAGAGCCCCATAGCACAGTTGCAGGCAGATGGGGGCAGGAGCAGGCAGGGCAGAAGACACCTCCTTTTTGGAATATTTGTCCCCAGGGAGCTGGTGCCCAGCAGCTGTAACCTTTTGGCACTACTCAAGACACTCTCTACCTGTGCTTTGCAGTTGGAACAGCGAGGTGGTGAATGGCAACTCCTTAATAAAAGAAATGTATATTTTTAAGAAAAGAGATGAAATAATTTTTAAAAGAGTTTAGGGAAAACAAAGTCTTTGGAAAGACTCAAAATTATTCTGCATGTCTCCTCCTGCTTTAGGTAGCCTTTAGGTCCAGCTGGATGCTGGGATCCAGCCAGGAGAGCAACCCAGAGAGAGAGGGTTTGCTATATTCCACCCTTGTGTTGTAAGGATAATTTTCTATTTTTATATTGAAGCATTAATTACTTGTTAGCTCAGGGTCAGCGTTATATTCAACTTTATTTTCACACCAAATCTCTGCAAAGCTCTAAAGGCAGGGTATTCTTGGCTGGTATAAACAATCCTGGAGGCTTAATTTTACTAGAAGTAGCCAGTTATTTATTAAAACATGATGTTAGTAGAGTAGGGATATTCCGGCTAGATTATTTTTCTGTAGAAAATAAATCATGGAAGCAGAAAATTGCAAAAAAGTTATAAATTTATGTGTGGGAAAAAATGGATTGTAAATAGCTAAGTTGCCTTGTGAGGAATTGGAAAATGTGCTGATACTTAGAAACTACCTCAGTTCTGAGGAATTTCCTTTCTAGCTTTGAGTGCTATTACATTTACTTGGTAGAAGTGAATCTGGTCTCCAATATGTAGCTGAAAGAGCTATCCCTATAGACCTTGTTAGATTGTTTTTAATTTAGAGGCTTGAACTACATCCAGCTGTTTTCTTTCAGCTAAGTTCCCTAACAAAGAGAATTTCTGAATTAAATATCGCTGATGGTTTCCATGACTTCTCCTGATTTGTTTGGTTCCATGGCATTTTCTGATTGCCCTCTTAATGATTTAAATGGTTCTAGCCGTTTGGATTTTCATCCCGAAGTAAACAAACCTTAGATGCACCACTATTGTAAATACATCCCAGTAAGGTCTGACTGGATAACCCCTTCTGGCCTCTACCCAGCTGGCAGGCCAGCAAAGTTCAGTGAAGAGAAAAAAAAACAATAAAAAATAAAAAGTTAAACTCCTTCAGAGCTCAGAGAATGGTGAAACAAAAGCCCTTGTGTTCGGAGGGGCCGACTTCTCCAACATCTCCCTCTTGGCCTAAGTGTTCATATGTAAGAGATTTGCTTGTAAATTCTCCTGCTCTTGAGTGTTTCTGCTCAGCAAAAAAATCACCCGAACGTTTCTGGGTTTATATTTATCGTTTTACATCTTACTAATTGTTATTCCTTAGTTGGGTACAAGTCACCAGTGCAGAGACCTGCTGGGAGTTGAAGCGTGTCCAGTTGACTTTGTTCACAGCTCAACGATCCTCCCCTCTATAAAGGACAGATTTGTCACCTGGGGCTACAGGAAACAAGAGTATAAACATCAATGTGGGATGGTCAAAATTTGTGTTCTTGCTTTTATTTTGTGTTTGTGTGCAAAACTGGCTCGCTGGCATGAGCTTGTAAGCTGAACCAGCAGGGTAGGGCCAAGGTGTGCTGCTGGCTTTGGGGAGGGGGTCTGCTCCCTTCCTTCAAGGGCTTCTCTTCTGTCACAAGACCTTTGCCATGATGACCATGTTTTAAAGGAAAATTCCCAAATGTAGGATGAATCATTAAAATGAGTGGCATGGGGTAACAAGCTTCAAATGCAAAATGAGCCAGAGTGGTGGTGGTCTTGGTGGGGTTGTGAGGTGCTGTCTCCTGGAGGATTGGAATGGAGGAGCACAGCCCCTGGCAGGGACTGATTGACCAGCTCTGTGCCTCTCCTGAGCACCACAGGGTTGTGCACAGGTGGGTGTCTCTGGGTTCCTCCAGCCTCTGGGTTTACAATTCTGGTAGCAACGAGGTGGGGGAGAGGAGGGTAAAAAATGAGGCTCTTGTCATCAAGTGTCTCTTGTTGCATGTTGTGGTGGATGGTGTGACCCCAGGGCAGGGTCCTGATCCTGTCCCCCAGCAGAACCAGCCTGGCTTTTGTCCTCCCAGGAAGTTGGTGTGTTAATTCTGGAAGGTGCAACTTCTCAGTATTTCAGTTATTTCTTAGACATGGTGGTGCTGAAGTGTCTGTCACCATCCTCTGGTGGATGTAAGACTTACTGGACCAGACAAGACCTTTGGTGTGGTCCTGGCTCCTTTCTCATGATGGCATCTGGTGTCAGACATTTCAGAGCAAAGCATATAAAATCCCTTCCATCTGTTTGGGTAGTTTTAATTCTCATGTGTCCCACAGTAACTGCTGTCACCCTCCCCCCAAAGCCACCCTCTTCCCTCCTACCTTTGTGCAGCCCCCCATGTGAATGTGGAGCAGACACCCAGGTCCTGCCAGCACATCTTGAGCATCCTGGGGACCCTGAGGACCACAGGATTTTTCCCAATGCTGATGGTTTTATTTTTCCATCTAAGCCAAGACTGATCATCTGAGGTAAATTCAGAGTGTCCCTGCCTCAAGGTCTTTCCCTGTTGTGATGGCCAGTGGCCACCTGCCTAGAGTGGTCCATCAGCTAACACTGCAGTGCCTGCTTGGTTGGCGGGAGGGTGGTCTGTCCTCTGTTGCTTCTCTTCCTTGAGATGCCATCTAGTGCCAGTAGTACTTGAAAAATAAATGAAGAAGTGCTTAGAAGTGGGTGAAAATGGATGCAGGAACATTGCAATCCCCACCCTGGCTGGTGGGATCTCTGCTGACCTGACCTGCTACTGGAGGGACTTGCATCTGGAAGCCACCAGGGTGGGTGAGCAGGCACTGAGGCAGCACTGACCCTCCTGCCTGGGGCTGGGGGCTGCAGTCCCCATCCCAAGTGGTTATGCAGTGCTGTGCTTCATGGCATCATCTCTGAAGTGGCTCTGATGTAATGGTTGGAGGGAGCTGCAAAGCACAGGTTGGTTAGAGATTGTGCAGTACAGGTGGTTTTAGGACCATGTGAGTATGAACTAACCCCAGTTAATGGCTTTAATGTCTCAATAATGCTGTCAGTTATTTCTTAGACATGGTGGTGCTGAAGTGTCTGTCACCATCCTCTGGTGGATGTAAGACTTACTGGACCAGACAAGACCTTTGGTGTGGTCCTGGCTCCTTTCTCATGATGGCGTCTGGTGTCAGACATTTCAGAGCAAAGCATATAAAATCCCTTCCATCTGTTTGGGTGGTTTTAATTCTCATGTGTCCCGCAGTAACTGCTGTCACCCTCCCCCCAAAGCCACCCTCTTCCCTCCTACCTTTGTGCAGCCCCCCATGTGAATGTGGAGCAGACACCCAGGTCCTGCCAGCAGAGGCAGCCCTTGAGCATCCTGGGGACCCTGAGGACCACAGGATTTTTCCCAATGCTGATGGTTTTATTTTTCCATGTAAGCCAAGACTGATCATCTGAGGTAAATACAGAGTGTCCCTGCCTCAAGGTCTTTCCCTGTTGTGATGGCCAGTGGCCACCTGCCTAGAGTGGTCCATCAGCTAACACTGCAGTGCCTGCTTGGTTGGCGGGAGGGTGGTCTGTCCTCTGTTGCTTCTCTTCCTTGAGATGCCATCTAGTGCCAGTAGTACTTGAAAAATAAATGAAGAAGTGCTTAGAAGTGGGTGAAAATGGATGCAGGAACATTGCAATCCCCACCCTGGCTGGTGGGATCTCTGCTGACCTGACCTGCTACTGGAGGGACTTGCATCTGGAAGCCACCAGGGTGGGTGAGCAGGCACTGAGGCAGCACTGACCCTCCTGCCTGGGGCTGGGGGCTGCAGTCCCCATCCCAAGTGGTTATGCAGTGCTGTGCTTCATGGCATCATCTCTGAAGTGGCTCTGATGTAATGGTTGGAGGGAGCTGCAAAGCACAGGTTGGTTAGAGATTGTGCAGTACAGGTGGTTTTAGGACCATGTGAGTATGAACTAACCCCAGTTAATGGCTTTAATGTCTCAATAATGCTGTTTGAAGGAACGTTTTCTGGGTTTGGTTTGTTTCTTTGTTGTTTTTTTTTGTTGTTTAATGCTCTTCTGTGGTTTGTTCAAGGGCTTGTGACAGTGTAAATTGCCTGGGAAGACACAGTTCTGAATGGGCTTGCTGTAATTCTGGGTCAAGTGTGCCTAAATTGCTGTAATTTGTATGTAATGGATTGCATGGGTTGAGAGCCCTTTTATACCTACTGGGGCAAGCAGGGGATGCCTGTCCCAGGAGTAGGAGAAGGTGTCCTGGCCCATCCCTTTGTCCATGGGCTATCCCTGGGCATGGCCCATCCCTTTGTCCCTCTCCCCTGGAAGGAGGAGCATCCTTTTCAGTGGCCTCATGGCTTCTACACCTGGGGAGAGTGGGGGACCCTGCCAGACACTGGAAGGGCAGGCAGTGTGGGGGGACAGGCTGTGCTAAACCTGGCAGGTTTTGGAGGATGCTGATGGCTTGTCCCTAAGGTTGTGTTGCTTTCCTCTGT